AGCCCCCTGTGCTGGGGTGCCTTGGGGGGCTCTTTTCCTCCTGCAGCCCTTGGTTTAAGGGGCTGCTCTCGCTCTGCTGTGGCAGCCAGGCTGGAGCTCACCCAGGAGGGCTCCTCTCAAATCCCAAATCCAGCCCCAGTGTCCCCACAGAGATAATCCACAGGGGTGCAGGAAGAAAATGTGGTTTGTACCATTAATAACTTCAAAAATATTTAAAAGCAGTGTTTTTTTCATCTCTCCCCCATCCTTTTATACCCCATGTTTTAGCTTGTGCTTTAAAGTGGGGTCCCAGGACGTGGCTCTGCTTCCCAGCCCTAAACTGGCAGTGCCTCCCGAAGCTTGGCCAGCAGGGTGTGCTGGGCTCTGTGTCACCCAATCCCTGTCCCCACGGAGGAACAAACCCCAGCACAGCTGGATCTGTTCCCTTTCCTGCTGCCAGACACCCCAGAAAAGCTTGGGGTGGTTTGGCTCAGCATTGCTGCCCGTTCAGGGGGAGAAGGGCCCAAAACCCCCTCCCCAAACCGGGCCTGGCTGCTTTTGTCATGTGCCAAAGGGAGAAGGGGCAGGCAGTGCTGGGCACGGGCAGTCCCTGCACCTTGCCAGAGGAGCATTTGGGCTTTTCTGGCCTTTTTTTGGTGGGGTTTTGCAAAGCTCTGCCTTTGCCCCAGCTCCCTGTGGTTAATGGGGGCTGGAGGAATGCCTGGGGTAATTAACACAGCCCGGTGTTTCCAGGGATGGTTTGGGGGGGGCCAGCCCTGAGCTCTGGGAGAGCAGAGCGATGTTCCTGCCTGCAGGGGCAGCAGCAGACCCTGGGACAGGCACAAGGGCTGGCTCGGTGACAGTGACCTTGGCAAGTGCCACCACAGCCCTGCAGGGGCCACAGTCCAGCAGGGTGTGGGGGCTCGGGAGAGGGGACACACGCAGGGGCATCCCCTTGGAGCTGAGCCCTGCCAGTCACTCTGTGCCCGAACAGCAGTGCCCAGAATCCTTGTCTGGTTTGCCCTCATCCTCCTGGCACTGCCCTCACCCCTCCTGGCACTGCTCTCATCCATTCCAGCACTGCCCCCGTCCCTCCTGGCACTGCCCCCCTGCCCTCCCCTCTCCCAGCCGCATGACCTCAGGCTCTGGCTGCTTCCCTGGGACTGATCTCCTCGGGCACCCGGCCACCAGCACGGCAGGGACAAGGGCTCTGTCCCACAGGGAGGACAGACAGACGGACAGAGTGTTCTCCCAGCAGCTCATGGGGAGGCCACCACCGGGTCACACAGGCTGCAAAAGGGCAAAATCCCACCCCATCCCATTTTCTCCGGAGAGGGGCTGAGGGCTGCTCCTGCCCCTTCCCGTGATGGATGAGCCTCTGGCAGCCCCGAGTCCCAAAGGGGGCGGCCAAGGGCCAGCAGGGCCCTTCCTCCCCCCTCTCCTCACCCGCGGTCACGAGGCTGCAGTCAGCAAAAGGAAAATTTTATTCCATCTACGCACGCTTTATTATTGTTATAAATAATAATAAATCCCGGCGGCAGGAAGTGGATTTAGGGAGCAGGAAGGGATGTGGGGGATGGTGAAACTCCTCTCGCTTCCCCCATGGGGAGGGATGTGAGGTGTGAGAGGACCCAGATGTGTCAGGGCAGTAAAACCCCAGAGGATGTTGTGGGGAATTGGAGGGGAGCAGGGCAGGGGGACTGGGGGGCATTTCCCACCACACCCCCTGATCCCAAATCCTCACCTGGCCTTTTGCCCCCACTGCCCTCGTTGATTCCTTCTGGACATTTTTGATCCCAAATATTGGATTTCCAAGTGCTTTTGGATGGCATTGGCTGCCCTCCCTGCTGAGGTGTTTCTGGCAGGAGAAGCCCGTGATGCCACCAGCTCCAGGGGTGCCTTCTGCTCTGAGCAGGCTCCAGCTCCCAGTGTCTGTGTCACACCCAGGGTGACCTCCCCAGTGCCTTTGGGGACCCCAAAGGAAGGGGTGAGGGAGACCTGCATGAAAACTCAGTTTTTTTGGTGATTTCCACCCCCCCTGCTTTGCTGGGTGAAGTCATGACTGGAGGAGCTGCTGATGGGACTCAGCCCATGACCACAGCCTGATGGAGATTCCAGCTCCCCACCCAGCCCTCCCTGGGGCCCAGTGACAGGTCAGCTCAGCTCACATCCAATGGAAAACTGGCTTGGCTCTATTATTATTATTTTTTTTTAATTTTCTGTTGTGTTTCAGTTTCAAGGTCAGTCGGAAAAAAAACACAAAACAAAACAAAACTGCTGCAAACAAGGGCTCCACCAGTTGGTGATATGGGACCAGCAGTACCTGTGGCATCTGGATGCTCTGCCAGGAGCAGTGAGCTGGGGACAATCCCCAGAGGGGGAACAAAGGGGTTTCCACCACTGAGTGACTGTTCCTGTACCACTGAGAGCTTCCAGCCCTGCAGGGTGTGGAGGTGCCCTGGTCCCACACCAGGGCTGTACCTGGGGCAATGGCAGGGAGCGGAGGGAGAGTGCTGAGCTAATCCCAGTGGTGGGGAAAGGAGATGGAGAAGGGGAGAAGCAGCATCAGGAGGGCTGGAAGGAAGGTGGGAGTGCCTCCATCGGAGGAAGATCCGAGCCACTCCTGGCAGTGGGAGGATGTTCAGAGCAGCCCAGCATGGATACCCTGACCCATGGATACCCTGCCAAGCACAGGGCCCCATCTGGAACTGGCTGGGCACCTCAGAGTTTGCTCTCACCCCCACACAGCCCCTCACCCCTAGAGCCAGCAGCGAGCACAGGGGCTGGGACCCCCAGCCCCACCCCAGCAGAGCCCCTCGAACCCAGCATGGCTGCAGTGAAACACCTCCTGCAGCCAGGAGCTCCTTACCCAGGGCAAGGCACCCTTCCCGGGAGCAATGCCACCATCCCCGCCATGTCCCAGCAACGCCACTGTCCCCACGATGTCCGAGCAATGTCACCATCCCCGAGATGTCTGAGCAATGCCACCATCCCCGCCATCCCCAAGCAATGCCACCATCCTCGTTATGCCCAAGCAATGCCACCACCCCCGCCATCCCCAAGCAATGCCACCATCCTCGTTATGCCCAAGCAATGCCACCACCCCCGCCATCCCCAAGCAATGCCACCATCCTCGTTATGCCCAAGCAATGCCACCATCCCCGCCATGTCCCTTGCCCCGAGCGCCTCCGGGGGCTCTGTCCTGCCTCTCTCTTTGTGTCCCTTTTGTCATGACCGTGACTCCAGCTCTGTTCCCGCTGCCTCCCCGAGCTCGGGAATTCCCGCAGCTCGCCACGCTGCGCTGAGCACGTTCCGCTCCCGCCTGTCCCCGCTAATTAGCGCGGCTGACCGAGTTTCCTTCATCAGCGCTAATTGACCAGGTCTGCGTTCGCGGCTTCCCCTTCCTGGCTCTCGCCGTGCCCTGCGGTGATTTCAGCGAGAGAGAGAAGGGAAATGAAATGGAGCTGGAGGTGCCCCCTCAGTGCATCTGACACCATCCTGACACCGACTCCCGCAGCTGGGACACGGGGACCCCGCGGGGCTCAGGGCACCGGGGAGGCACCTCGGGCCAAACCCAGCCCTGGAGCTCTGCAAAGCCTCTTTGTTCCCTGCCAGTGGTGGCTGTCACCCCCCTGGGGACCCACTTGTGTGACCATCCCCGCTTCCTTCACCACTCAGGCACCCGGTGGCATCACCAGCCAAGGGGGCAGTGACACCCAGTGCCATGGGATGAAGCCACCCGGCTGTGACAGGTGCTGGGGACAGCCCGTGGGTGGCACCTGGCAGCGCTCAGCCCTGCTCCCCATTAGCTGCAGGTCGATGGGATTGATCCCCCTGGAGCTGTCCCTGATGCAGCCCAGGTGACCCAGCACGGGAGGGACAGCAGCTCGGGGTGGGGACACAGGACACGGTGACACAGGGACCCAGAGCAGCAAATCCCTGCCCTGGCACTGCCCTGACCCCCGTGGCCTCCCCTGTGGTCTGGGACCGCCTGTCCCAAAGGAGGACACTCCTCACGTGTGTGTGTGTGTGACCAGGGCTGTCCCCGTGGGCTCAGGGGAGGCAAGAGGGCTGGGGCTGTGGGGTACAAGGGGATTTGGGGAGAGGGATGCCCCTATGAGAGGTGCATGGGGATTCTCAGGGGTCTCTGTGCAGCTGGAGGGGGTTTGGTGTCTCTGTGGGGCACTGGGGGATTTGGGGATGTCTGTCAGTCTGCCAGGGGGGCTCAGGGGGTGCTCGCTGTGGGAAAGGGCAGAACTGGGGGGGTTTGGGGTACAGAGCTGCACCTGGACACTCTCTGGGGATGGATGGGATACAGGGATGGGGACTGCACCCCGCACACCTCCTGTGCTCTGCTAACAGAGGGGAGCAGCCCCAACCCCCAGTCCCGGGCTCTGTCTGTTTGTCTGTCTCTTGGGTCTGCTCCGCCCCCGCCTCCTCCACCCTCCCCCTCACATCTGGCCAGCAGCAGCTTATTTTTTCCTCCAGGGTTGCGACATCCTGAGCCACGGGATGTTTGTCCTGAGCCTGTGCTGGACCCCTGGAGGGGGAGGGTGGGAGGATTGTCTTGGCCAGGGAGCTCCAGTGACAATATCTGACTGCCCTCCCACCCACTGTCCCCAAGGGCAGAGAGGGGGAAAAGCAAATCAGACCAGGGCTGGAGAAGGGAGAGTGGATTCCTGCTGAGGATGGGGAAGGGTGATAGAATCCCAGCCGGGTCTGGTTCTCCAGATCCTCCAGGACTGGGCAACAGTGACCAGATCCCTACAGGGATGGAGAGGGACAGCTGGAGCCTCTTGGGGCTCCATCGTGTCCTCAGTCATGATCCACAGCCAGGTCATGCTCCACTCAAAGGCCTGGGTGACCACAGGATGGGGGTGCCACCAGAGCAACCCTGGGAGCACAAGACTAGGGGTGCCCCTAGAGCATCCCCACTGCTGGAGCCAAGCAGGGGCTGAACCACCCCTGTCAGCCAGACCCCACCTGTGCCTCCCTTTTCCCACCAGAATAAGCACCATTCATTCAGAAGAAACCATTTTATTATTTTTTTTTCCCAAAGAAAAAAAGCAATATAAATATTAGAGTATAAAACTTGCGTGTAACACATCGACGTTGGTCTATATGGGTATAAGAAGGATATAAGCATATATATAATATATAAGTATAATTCAATATTAGACACATTGAAAGGGCAAACGTGTTTCATTTCACGCACACTCGGAGCACAGACCACATGGAAAGAAGATACAGAGAAAATTGAAAATACTGATGTCCACAAGTTAGTTACTGCAATTAAAAATAACACGCCACTAAATACACGACACTCACTACGCTACCTCAGATTTGCAGATTAAAAAGAAAATATAAAGACTACGATTCAGCTACAGCATTTCTAGAGGGGGGGCAGGTGGCAGCTGCAGGGGACAGGGTGGGAACCGCTCCCAGTGCAGCCAGCGCCGGAGGTGGCTGGATCTGGATGGAACACGGAGGATGCTCCTGCTGCCCTGTTTGGGGAGGGGGCAGGGGTGGGGAGAGCCTGGCTGAAAGGGCTGGGTCTGCTCGGGTGAGTTACGTGTTAGTGATTAAAAAAGGAAAAAAACAACACAAACCCCCCTGGGAAACTCGGTGTGGCCCCTTCCGGGCCACCCCACAGCTCCTCTCCTGGCTCTGGCTGCACAAAGCCCCCATCTGCCTCTCCCGGGGGCTCAAAGCTGCTTTGCTATGGGAAGCTGGCCTGGTGCTTTGTTGATGGGCACATGGAGAAACTCTAATCCTCATCCTTCCATTCTCCCTGCAGGACACAAAGCCCAAAGCCAGTGGGAGCGTCACCTCCTCCTCAGGCTGGCCCCGCACAGCCCCGTGTGCCACTCCCCAGTCACTGCCCCCATTTTGCAGCGTCACCCCCTGCTCTTGGGTCCCTTGTCTAGATCTGGTCCCCAAACACCACCAAAACAACCATCACTTACTCAGCCACCAACTCTGCACCAAAGCCATGCACCGGCAGCTCCGCGGATCCCACCCTTTGGGCGAGACGCCCAGAACCGCCCGACCGCCCCAAAGAACCGAACTAGAAGCAATATTGAGTTCCCCCGGCCCGCCTGAGCCATCCCACCCCCTCCCACCCCTTCCCCAGGGCAGCCCGGGCGGCTGCCGGCGCGTTCACACCACGTGGGCATGCGAGGACTGTGCGGGTCCGTGGAGCTACGGCGCTAGTGCAGGTGTGAGGAGAGGGACGTGCATGCAGACACCGTGTGCAGACAGTGAAACCCCGTCCCCGTGTCCCCTGGGGGACCTGGCCAGGCCTGGCCGCGGGGGAGCGAGGCTCTCTTAGCCTTAATTCCATAAGAACATCGACTGTACATATAAATATTTACTGCAAAGAAGGTTTGAGATGTGTCTGCTCTTCGGAGACCCCTAGAACCGCCGGGGCAGCTGCCGCACACCTCGGCATGCTCCTCATGGAATTCCCTGACTCTCACACAGCTGGAGGGCTTTTTTCCTTATCATATTTCAGGCCATTAGTGGTTACACTTTAAAAAAAAAAATTAAAAATGCTTAGGATGCAGCTTTGCCATATTCCCTTTGACTCATGCAATATACACAATTTTTTTTTTTTTTCAGATGACAGGTAAGCAGGAACTGAAGCACTCCCTACCAACTTCCAGATTCCAAAATCCATCGCTATCATTGACTGGGGGTGAATTTTACGAATGGAAAATTTAACAGCAAAGAATTGGAGCGTGGGCTTTAAGCTAAGAACTTCCTTTTCCTTTCCAAAAAATAGCTGAAGGGCTATAAATTAAAAGATCCACATTAAAATTATTTACACTGGGCAAAGCCGAGTACAAGCCTTGTGCCTTTCTTGGACTACCTGGGAGCAAATTGGATCCAAAGACATGGCAAAAGACCTTCCGCCCTTGCATATTCTAATACCCGAGGGATTGTATAAAACATTATTCACAGGGCACTTGTTTGTGTTGGGTTTAGATTCCGGATTGGTTTTCATCATGAGACCTGAGAGCAGCGAGCCCCTGCTCTCAGCCCTGATGATGACGAGATACATTCGCAGCATTTCCTACTTTTGCACCACAAAAAAAAATTCACATTCGTCCTCCGGCCTGGGCTGTGGTTTTGGGGGAGTGCTGGAGCCGGCTGCCCTGTAGCTCTAAGGTCTCCTTTTTCTTCTTCACTACTTCTTCTCCTTCTTCCCGGATTTCTTCTTGTTGCCGCCGGCGGGGGCGGCGTTCTTGGCGTCGCGCTTGCCGGCGGCGTTGGTGAGGGTGGCGTTGCTGCCCGGGATGTACACGTTCTGCCGGTAGTCGGGGACGTGCTGCAGGGTGAACTGCGGGCCGTAGCGGGCGCTCAGCCCCATCGTGCCATTGCCACCGCCCAGGGTCGAGTTACCGTCAGCAGCTTCTGTGGGGAACGCCGGGCACGGGGGGAAAGAGAAGGGCAGGAGGATGTTAAAGACAGCTGGAGACCCCCACACCAAACCCCAGCAGCCCCACAGTGTGTCAAACCCAAAGGAACATCACCTTCAGCTCCCAACAGAACAGCCCGGCACAGACTCCCACACCAAACCCCAGCAGCCCCACAGGGTGTCAAACCCAAACCAACATCACCCTTCAGCTCCTCACAGGGCAGCCTGGCACAGATCCCGACCCCAGCAGCCCCACAGAGTGTCAAACCCAAACCAACATCACCCTTCAGCTCCCCACAGGGCAGCCTGGCACAGACCGGGCACAGAGAAAGGCAGGATGTTAAAGCCAGCTGGAGACCCCCACCCCAAATCCCAACAGCCCTACAGAGTGTCAAACCCCAACCAACATCACCTTCAGCTCCCCACAGGCCAGCCTGGCACAGATCCCCACCCCAAACCTCAGCAGCCCTACAGAGTGTCAAACCCAAACCAACATCACCTTTCAGCTCCCCACAGAACACCCCCCCCACCCAAACTGCCCATGACAAACACATTGTGCAGTCGCACCATTAGCGATGCATTAAAGGAAATCCGATATTTATTTATTTTTCCGCCGCATTTAAAACCCTGCCCGCGGTATTTTTCGGCAGCCAGGTTTATTCAGGGAGCAGGACACGGGAGAGGAGAAAGAGAACCCCTCCCCTGCAATACCACAAAATGGCTCTAGGAAGCCGAGCGCGGAGGAAATCAATGCCAGAGCGTGTCTGATGGTCCAGATCGGGGAGCAGGGGGAGGGGAAGGCGGACTCATTCCTGTCGCTATGCAAAGCTCCAGCACGGAGCGAGCAGTGGGGAGGGGCACGGCGCCCCCCGGGATGCTGGAGAGCAGATGGAGACGGGGGGATGCACGGGGGCAGCGGGAGAACGAGCACGGGGGGATGGCAGGAATGAGTGATGCTGTTGCCATGCACGATTTGCTCCAGTGCAGCTGCCTGTGCACGGCTCAGGGTGGGATCCTTCTGAAATGGTTTGCTGAAATTCAGCCTTTGTCTCGGAGACTGTGGCTCCCATCTCAGCCTTTAACTGCCTCATGGCTGGGGCCAGGCTCTCCTGAAGGATGGGGACACCCAGCCAGGGCACCCAAAGGGTCCAAGGCAGAGCCCAGAGGTGCTGCTCCCTCCTTCCAGAGGCAGAGAGATTGTGGGAACAAAGAAAAACAACGAGCAGAGGTGGTGGGCTGGGTCCCCTCGCGTTTCTCCTCACTCCAGACCAGCTCTGTGCTGCCTCTGCTTTCCCCTGAGCAGATGGAGGTGGCTGAGCCAGCCAGAAAGCTGGACAAAAAGCTGGAGCACATCCCACATCCCCTGAAATATGGCTGTGTACACATTCCCCTTGCAGGGGTCGGAAGGATGAAGCAACTGCAGTTTGAGAAGCTGCAGCTGCTCTGTTGGAGCGGGCAGGGAGGAAAACACAGCGAGGCTGAAAACAAGAGTGATATTGTGCACTGGGGCAGGGCTGTGGGGTGCAAACAGGGAAATGCCTTTCACTTCCTGCTCTGGAAGCATTCCCCACAGCAGAATTCTTCCACAGTTCCCATGAAATGGGCTCCAGACCCAGCAGGGCTTGCAGGACCTTGTGCTGGGGGGATGTGTCTGTAATTAGTGATATGAATTGCTAATACTCACAGCAGAATATTTCATTAGCAACCACCTCAAGCCCACAGCCATGGAGGTGTTAGAAATGACCCCCAAGGGATGGGATGACTGGAGATGTGCTGGGACCACAGGTGCACTATTGTGAAGAGGTTTTACATCAACTTCTGTGACCCAGAGAGGAGTTTGATTAGAGGATCCATGTTTACCCCTGAAAGAATTTCCTACCAAGGTCATTGACGTAGAAACCAAGAAAGAAAGAAGGAGAAATAAGAGAAACCTGCAACTGCCTGTCCCAATGAGCACTTTGTTTGTCTCTCGTGACCAATGAGTCAAGTGCAAACTTAGGAGGTTTGTAAGAATGTATAAAAAGCATGCAGGCTATAATAAAAACAGGTCTGAAGCCTTCTGAAAATGGAGTGTGTTGCTTTGTATTGTCTCCGTCTCAACCCTGACAGACTACAGCCTCCAGCCATGGGAGAATTGTTTTTTTCTGGGCTGTCCCAGCCCAGTGAGAGGCTGGGTGCACTCGGGCCCCTTCTCCTCGCTGGGTTTTGCTGCCCTGAGTCCCTCTGGGGACACCCCAGGGCTCTGAGCAGTGAAGGGCTGGGGGTGCCAGCAGCACCCAATCCCCATGAATTAATCTGCAGTCTCATCACAGCATCCAGCAGGGAGAAAAAGGCACTGGCGAAGTTCCCAGCCTGCCATGGGTAAGGGTGACCGGCTGTTTCTAGGTAACACTGACATTAAGGCTGAAAAGAGGAAAGAACAGGAACAATGGAGGGTTATAAATGGGCACCGAGGTGCTCTTGCCAAGCAAAGCACTTGAGCTCTCAAAGGTCATGCTCAGCCTCTACCAGCAGCCTGTCATTATCCCAAACGGTCCTGAGGAGGAAAACAAGAATTTGGGCTCTGGCAAAAATAACCAGGAGTGGCTCCATCGCCCCCGGGGCAGCCCCAGAGCAGGTGCTGCTGCAGCTGCTGGTGGGGCTTTCAGGGCACCCAATATAGCGTGTCTGCCCCTGCCTGGGGGCACAAGGACCTCCCTTTCTGCTCTCCCACCACCCCATGGCACCTCTCTAAATTCTCCCTGGAGCCAGAGTATTTTAAGGACAGGATGTCTGTCCTTGAGAGTCTGGGGTCCTGGAGCATCTGTGCTCCTTGGGCTGTCCCAGCAGCTGCCTCTGCCCATTCAGATCGCTCCAAACTGGTTTTTCATTCTGTTCCCAGCTGCAAGGCAGGAAGAGCCAGAGGAAGGGTGGCTGGGAAGGGAGACAGAACCCTACAGCAAGGTCACAGCCGTGGGGGGGAAATCAGGTCCCCAGGTACTCTGTGATGGTAATTTAACCTTTGGGGAAGGGATTTAATCCTCACAGGACTGGACGGTGCAGGCAGGGCCAGCGCTGCCTCTGCTGAAGCCAAGGAAACCCCTGGGCCAGGGTGAGGATGCATCCAGGGCATCACTGTGACCCCCCTGTCACCCCGGAGCTCAAACTGAGCTCAGTGGGTGACAGTGAAACATAAGGATTATTTAAATGGCCAGGAAATCACACCCAGGGATGGGTAACACAAAGCTTAATGGGCAATTAGCGCTGCCCTAATCAAAGCCTACTCCAATCAACAGTATTGGCTTAAAGAGAGAGCAGAAAGGGGACAGAGCAAGGGGGACACGAAAACTGTGCTGGGGGAAAAAAACTGCTGCTGGGTGCCCATGCACACACCCAGCACAGAAAGGCCCGAGCAGGATGGATAAGGCACAGCCATTATCTATCTGCGGGGGGATTTGATTTCCATCAGCCCCAGGGCAGACCCGAGCCCCGGGAGAGGCCGGGGCTGTGGATTGGGGAGATTTGCTGCAAATGGGCCCGGGGCTCCATCAAAGTCGGTGCTTAACCTGGAAGGGACCCGCTTAGCTCTGATCCTGGGGATTGCTGGAGCAGCAGCCAGAAAAACAGCTTTATTTACCAGCAAGGAGACCGGATCTGGAGACACGGGGTGATGATAACCACATGCAAGCCCAAGGGCTGTTTTTCCATGGTCTTTTTTTCAGAGCAAAGACACATTTTCACATTGTTTCTTTCTCTGGAGTGTAAACAGCTCCCTTGCCCCAGACCTCGTCCCCCTCCCCAGCCCAGCTGCTGTCTCCTGGTGTCTGCAGAGCAGCAAAGCTCAGCTGCAGCAGCTTTCCAAGAAAGCAACACCAAAGCCATTCCTCCTCCCTCGGATTCCTTCCCTCCCAACAGCTCAAAGGAAACATCCTAAGCATTTTGCACAGGGTTTTATGGCTGTGCTTCTATTTTTAAATCAAGGGGGGGGCAAAGACTTGAAGGTATTTATAAATAAAGGCTCTATGAAAAGCAGGCTCTTTATCCATAGTGCTGCACAGAATGGTAATTGTCCTGGTTTTACACAAAGCCATGGAGGCTGTGGCTGCGTGGGAACATCCCTCCCTGCCCAAGGCTTCTGCACAGCCACAAACCAGAGCAAACCAACCCCAAACGACCCCAAACCACCCTCCTGTGAGTACAACTGCAAGGAGGCAGCAGCACCCAGGGGAGGAAACCTTGGTGAGCCCATGGCTCAGCAGAGGGGCTTGGGGAGCTCCTCTGCACACAAGGTTTGTTGGGAATACTGAGCCAGACATTCCCTGTTTCCCTTGGTCCAGCCACACACAACTTTCAGCCTTCCCTCCTCCTCACCTCACAGCAACTTTAATTTACTGTGCCTTTCTGGAACCAAGCAGTCCATAAAACATCATCTCCAGACTGGCTCTTCCAGTAACACAACCCCAGCACAGCCATGTGGTGTTTCAGTACAAAGCACAGAGTTTGGGTGGAAGAAGTGTCCCTGTGTACAGGCAACAGGTGTCTCCTCCGCCTGGATCTTTCCTGACCCCTCTCTCTGCAGGGACATCAGTCATTTTCCACTTAGATCCCTCCTGACCCCTGTCTCTGCAGGGATATCAGTGTTTGTCCCTCTGGAGCCCTTTTGACCCCTCTCTCTGCAGGGACAGCAGGGCTTTTCCCCCTGGATCCCTCCTGACCTCTCTCTCTGCAGGGACATCAGTCATTTTCCCTCTGGAACCCTTCCGACCCCTTTCTCTGCAGGAACATCACTCATTTTCCACCTAAATCCTTCCTGACCCCTCTCTGCAGGGATATCAGTGCTTTTCCCTCTGGATCACTCCTGATTCCTCTTTCTGCAGGAACATCAGTGCTTTTCCCCCTGGATCCCTCCTGGCCCCTCTTTGCAGGGATATCAGTGCCTTTCCACCAGCTCTGGGATCTGTTGCAGCAGAACCTTTGCAGGCTAACCCAGATGAATCAGTCCCACAGGATTTCCTCTATCAGCATGACCCCAGGTCCCCCCAGAGCAGGAGTCAGGGTTTTCCCAGGAGTGATGGACACCAACCATTGGCTGAAGCCAGGATCATGGCTTGGAGCATCTCTGTGTCAAACTGGTTGTTGGGCCAGGCTCCAGCTTCCTCTCCATTCTGGGAGCTGTGGGAAAAGAAAACAAACAGCAAGTTACTCCAGTTCAGCCAGAAGCAGTGGGCTGGACCAGTGCATGCTTTAGATCCTCCCATAAACAGCACTCAGGGGCCAAGGCCCTTTCAGAGTGTCCATCCCTCACCCTGTTGAAGAATAACCACCAAAAGCACTTGGGGGCTCCATGGTGCATCCAGCAACACCTTCCTACCTCCTGCTGCCTTCAGAGGCCACAGCCAAGCATCTCCTCAAAACCCCACCAATGTGGAATCACAGAATGGTTTGGGTCAGAAACATGAAGATGATCTATTTCCAACCCCTGCCATGGGGTATAATGTCATCCATTGCCAAAATTACAGGGTCATATCATAAAAGCTGCAGTCCCAAAGCCCCAGAGGTGCAAATCCACCCTTGTAGGACCAGGCCCTCTGCCCTTCTGCAGGCTGTGAGTGGATGCACCTCTCTGTGACAGTGTTCACAGGGGTCTCAGATTGAGGAAAGAGATGAGGATCTGACTCCATGTTTCAGAAGGCTGATTTATTATTTTATGACATATATATTATAGTAAAACTATACTGAAAGAATAGAAGAAATGGTTTCATCAGAAGGCTGGCTAAGAATAGAATAGGAAGGAATGATAACAAAGGTTTGTGGCTGGACTCGCTGTCCGAGCCAGCTGACTGTGATTGGCCATTAATTAGAAACAACCACATGAAACCAATCACAGATGCACCTGTTGCATTCCACAGCAGCAGATAACCATTGTTTACATTTTGTTCCTGAGGCCTCTTAGCTTCTCAGGAAGAAAAATCCTAAAGAAAGGATTTTCCATAAAAGATGTCTGTGACACCTCTCAAGCTCTTTCAGGTTACAACTCTCCATTCTGCAGCTTCATTCATGTGATGGAGGGTGAGAAAACTCCAGTGTGGTGGGAATTTGGGTCAGCACAGAGCAGCTGCCTGGCACCACAGAGTCTGCTCTGAAAAGAGTCCAAGCTCAGTCCTGGGGAGGCTGGAGCAGCAGGGAGAGGAGAGCAGGGAGCATCTGGGAATCTCCATTGGCTCCCTTTGGCTGCTTGGGGCGCTGAGCACCACAGATCAGCCTGGCAGAGCTCAGGGGATGCTGACAGACTTTGGCTGAGGAGGTTTTGTGGCCAAGGCCACAATCAGCACTCTGTGTACAGGCTAACAAGCCTGGCTTTCATGTCTGCCAGGTGTCAGCTGTGCTCGGCCACTGCTCACTGCTCAGGGCTGCGCTCCCAGAGCCCCTCCAGAGCCCCCACACTTCCTCAACATCTCACCAGCTTCCTGGGGTCCCCTCTGCTCTGTCCCCAAATGACTCCACCACTCAGATCACCATTGTCTCCTCTCCAGTCCCTGCTCTGACCACCCACAGCCCTTCCATCCATTGGAATGCCAGGATTTATCTCTTGGTTGGGAAGGATGAAAGTTTGACAAGAAAGTCTCACAGATATGTGTGCTTGGCAGAAAGATTTTAAAATGTAGAGTCTGATGAAGGAATAGAGATGGAAGCAAGTTTTGATATAGAAGAAAAGAATTGCTGAGCCAGTCTTAGTGGATAACCAAGGAGGCAAAGGGTGTGTTAGTTAGAAGGGGTTTTTATGGCTAAGAGCAAAGGATAAACCCACCCCAAACATGAAGATGTTTTTACCAAGCAAAAAGATAGCACAAATAAGTCAGCAAATGTGGCAAGTAGAAAAAAGGTCTCAGAATTTTCCACTGCAAGAAAACTGAAAAACAACTTCTAGCTTAAACTGTAATGTACTAACTTTTAGTGATTGGAGAATAGTAACATGAATATGGTAATTATAGTAGTTATGATAGGCTATAGGTAACAGTTAAGGTATAGATTGGTTCTACTGTATGAAGTTGCTCAGCAAAGAAAAGTATATAATACAATGTAACCAAAAGAAAAGTATATAATGCATTGTAACCAAAAGGAAAGTATAGAATGCATTGTAACCAAAGCTAAAGGGTCTCCAGGCCTGCCTGCAGCTGGAGCTGACAGCTGCGGGCACAGCTCTGTCACCCACAACCCTGGACTGCTGTGACACCTTGGATACAATAAACTGCATTTTGGAGAGCCTCTGGAGTCCTGCATCCCTCATTCAGGCTCTTCCAGCCCTAGGCTGTGTGCTGGCTCCCTTGGGATGAGGGCTGCCCTGGGAGCTCTGCTGAAGTGAGACAGGGGAGGATGGGGGTTGGAAAGCCTTTCCCGTGAAAGGACCTTACCCCATTTCCCAGGAAAGGGTTCAACCCACCAGGCTACAAGGCTGGAGGTGCCTCCTGCACCCCTGTGCTCCCAGCCCTTATACCCAGGAGCTGCCAGACCCCAATGCCCTGCTCAGAACCCAATGCCCTGCTCAGACTCCAAAACCCTGCTCAGACCCAAATACTCTGCTCAGACCCCAACACTGCTCACACCTCAATGCCCTGCTCAGACCCAAACATTGTTCAGACCCCAAAACCCTGCTCAGACCCCAATGCCCTGCTCAGACCACTACAGCCTGTTTGACCCCAGCACTGCTCAGACCCCAAAACCCTGTTCAGACCCCAACATCCTTCTCAGATCCCAACACTGCTCACACTCCGATGCCCTACTCAGACTCCAAAACTCTGCTGAGACCCCAAAACCCTGAGACCCCAAAACCCTGCTCAGACCCCAATGCCCTGCCAAGATCTCAGCATCCTGCTCAGCCACCAGATCCCTGCCCAGCCCCTGAATCCCTGCCCAGCCCTGCTCTGGGGTGTCCCTGTGCCACCCCTGTGCCCGAGCTCTCAGCTCCCTGCATGCTGCCCCTGCCAGCGTGGGCACGGCCAGTGCCAGCTCAGTGCCACGTGCTGGGCACCAGATGGGCTCCTCACGCCCTGCTGAGCATCCCCTGCCTGAGTGCCCCCTCCACCTGTGCCCTCACACACGGAACAGGCTCAATATGGGCATTTTGGAATGGGGATGGACCCACAGGCGCTGTTCTTGAAGGCTGTACCAGCCACAGTGACCTTGTGGCTGCACCAAAGCCCTGCAAGGAGAGAAGCCTTGAATGCTCATGAGCTTTCAGCATCCCTGTGAAATCCTGCCCCATGCACAGGGTGCCCAGAGCAGCTGTGGCTGCCCCTGGATCCCTGGCAGTGCCCAAGGCCAGGCTGGACATTGGGGCTTGGAGCAGCCTGGGACAGTGGGAGGTGTCCCTGCCATGGCAGGGGTGGGATGGGATGGGCTATGAGGTCCTTTTCAATCCAAACCATTCTGGAATTCTGAATGTAAGTTCAAACTGCCTTTGAAACACCACATCTATCTGTAAGGATGCTGTGCAGACACTCCCAGGTGCTCTGCACAAAATCTGGTCTAAAGCAATTTGTCCAAAGATGTGCAGGACCCCGAGCCAGGACCACAGGACCATCCCTCCTGTAGGAGCATCGGGGGTAGGATGGTCAAGACAGATGGAGATGAGAGATCTCTGCAGCCAGGTCAGGAACTTGGGGTTTATTGCAAAGGGCCTGGGGGCAGGGCCCTGCTGGGAGCTGCCAAACACAGCTCAGAGCAGGCTGAGAGAAGAGAGGGGGAGAGAGGGTGAGAGGGTAAGAGCATAAGAGAGGCAAGAGAGAAAAAGCATAAGAGAGTAAAAGGGGGAAGAGAGTAAGAGAGGTAAGAGAGCAAGGTTCCCATTCCAATACAATAAATCTTCTTCTGTGTTGAATATTCTGATTCTCACTAACCAATCTAGTACAAGATACAAATCCTATAGCATTTATATACAGCCTATAAGAATCATTACATTACCATCCTGTGTTACATTTTAAACCCTAAAAACTCCTCTTTGGGCCCCTTCTGCCAAGCTGTAGGGTCTGCTCTGACCCTTGGGCCTGTCTGCAAGCAGAGGGTGTTGTTCCATCAAAAGGGGATCACCTTCAGCCAGCCACACCATTGTTTTCCAGTAGTTCAGTAACTGAGGGATCTCAAAGCTTGCTTTCATTTCAATCTCTCTTATAGTTTCCATATTCTCAAAATCTTTTCCAGACAATGATATTTATAAGGCTTTCCTGTTTCATCTTCCCCAACACCTCCCCTTCTGTGTCCTGTGCCTGAGCCATCCCCAGCCGGGCACAGGGCGCTGCTCTTACACCAATTAATCTTTAGGGGATGCAAATGATCACTAATGGAGCAGAGGCTGCCCCGGCAGGAATCCTGAAATCCCTGCACATCCCAGGGCATCCCGGGCACCATTTCCAGCCCTCCTGCATGCCAGGGGTGGTGGCACGGTTCCAAAAACCACACGTGAAACGTGCTCCCCTCCCAGATTGGTTCCTCCGTGATGGGTGAGCCGAGACTCCCCTGCCCCCCTCGCCATGCAGGACAAGGTGGGGACAGCCCTGGGGCTGCAGTGACCTGTTAATGTCACAAACAGGCTGGGAATAGAGCCCCGGGCTAGATCCAATAAAGGACTTAGGAACCTGAACTCCATTGCAAACCACAGCCCGTTCAGGCTCCCGTTAACCCCAGCAGCTCCTGCCCCACACCCAGCTGCAAGATGAGGTTCTCAGGTTTTTCAGGCTTAAGGGAAGCTGCTCAGAACCATCCCTGAGCCTCCCAGCCGCTGATCCTGCCTCTGGAGCTGCCCTGACATGATGGTGGTACCCAGAGATGGGGGAGAGAAAGCACAATTAATATCAAATACATTTTGGGGGGCTTTTTAAAGTGTGGTATTCCGGTGGTTTGAACTCTGCTGTGAAATCAGAGGCTCAGGTTCAACTCCGTCTTTGATGTGGCAGTGCCAGCATCACATTTTCCACCTCCTAAAAGACTCCTCCCTCCTCTTCCACCCCTCCTTCAGGCTCCCCTGTACAAACATTCCTCCTGTCTCCTGACAAAGCCTCTGTGTCCTGCAGCACTGGGAATGCAGGAAGGAAAGGCTCACCCTGTGCTCAGGAAATTCACCTGCACCAGGACCCCGTGGGCTCCCCAGCCCACAGCCCCCGGCCCCGGGGCTGCAT